ATAATGTATGAGGTAATACTTTAATTAACATGAAAAGCATTAGTACATGATTAATAGATGCATTAGTTACCTATTAGTTCATGCTTATTACCGCATTAAGTACGGTTAATTAATGTACCCTCATTGTAAAGTGTTACCAAATAGCTCAGAGGAGACACAGCTCAGACAAATGTCCCACCTTACTATGTGCATAAACTACAGATCCCAACAGCTTCCAGGTCCCTCCCCTGCGGTCCATGCGCACCATGCGCAGGATCTGAAGAAAACGAAGGCTACGCAGTGCAGAGGTGGCAAAGATGTTCTCCTGGCTACCGGCTGAAACCACAGCAACCGAGGCAATGAGAACGATGATGTCTGGGGAGCACAGGAGTCAAAATTAAAGGTCACAGGTTGCCCATTGTTAGTAACAGGAACTGTGGCTGATTCACCTACTTCCTAAATCCAGCCACCAGCCCATACATCACCTTTAAAACAACTATTGATTCACAAATAGCTGTTTGCCTTTTCTATCTCGATTAGTCTTCCTCTGCCATTCTGTCTGAAATACCCTTCTTTTTCTTCCCTTGGATTTTCCAGCAGACTGCATGTGAAGCACAGAGAGCCACAATCCTCTAAATGGATGCTTTCATCCTCAGTTACATTGATTGAACACTGAAGAGGAAATTTTAAAAATGCCATTTATCAGTCTGGACAAATAACATCACTACCCGAGGATAGTCTCTTAAATTTACCCTGTAAGATGTAGAACAAGCCTCGACAACATGGAAATACGTATTTTTGACAGTATTGTTGGAAACAAATATTTAATCTGTGCTTTTCTTGACTGTCTAAACTTTAGCCACTTTAGTGCTAGAAATATTGAGCCCAACATAAAACTGAAAAAATGAATGTGTTTGGAGTGAATGGCTTCACTGATAAACTGCAGTTTAACAGTTAAAAGGCAATTTAAAACACTACTTTCATTTCATCCTGTGTATTATGTGCCCAAGTAGCTGATTATACCCAGTCAAGAAAACCTGGTGTCATGATTTTGTTTTTAAAAGACATCAGGATTCACAAATTTAGACTGACAATGTGAGACATGCAGTACAATTACTCAATCACCATAATTAAGTACAATTTGGAGGTATTTGTACTTTACTTGAGGATTTGTTGCTACTTTATACTTCTACTTCACTACATGTCAGCAGACAATATTGTACTTTTCACTCTGACAGCTGTAGATTAAACTACACTAAACTACTATTAAAACAACAACAACAACAAGGTTAGAAAATAGCTACAATACAAAACTCCTTCAACAAAGTGCTGTCTACCCAGGATCCCTTGTTATATTTCAGATGTCTATGGATCGTCACCAAAGAGACAGTTCCCCCAAATGGTTTCATTTAAGTAATAGTTTGACCTACCTATGACACAGAACGGTTTCCTGGCAAAGCGGAGGCGTCCCTGCCAACCTCTGTAGCGGCAACAGCAGCCAGCACTCCATATCCTGATGATGTACTCCAGACCAAACACTACAATCATCACAAACTCCTGCAGGACACACACACACACACACGCACACACACGCACAAACCCCCATATATTTAAAAATTTAAATGCTACAAACACGGAGGCAGTAAAGACAATAAAAACAGATACCAAAGGGTCAAAGGTTGAATTTAGTTAATAGTCAGGTTTGTCTTTACTGTGGCTTTTCCATCGAAACTAGGTAATGTACACAAGACACAAAAATGTAACAGCACACTTGCAGACACCAGTTTGGTGCATGTTTTCAGTAATTATCAGTGTGAGGTAAATATTAAAAATAAAAACAATGCCTGTACTCTGGTTGCTCTGATTACTGCTGTTGAACTGTAAAACATTTTGACACCAGGAAAGCCCAGGTGGCTTTAATAGCATTAATAATGGCTCTACTCCACTGAGGTGTGCCATTCCCAGGGCTCTCCTCATGCTGGCTCACTAGCTTGACTTACTGTGACACTTCAGTGGGACAGAACCATCGTTCCTGTTATACCTGTGCTTGTCCTGCTATGAAGGAAGATGTCAGATAATGTGTCTGCACTAACAAAGGTTTAAACACTTAATATTATTATTTTTCTTCGTTAAAGTAGTTACCACCACAATAATAAGAATGTTCCTCTAAAGGAATGGTTTTACATTTTGGGAGATCGTTTTCTTGCTGATAGTTATGTAAGAAGATCGAGACCACTCTCATATGTTACAGCCAGCAGTGGGTTAGCAAAGATGGAAGCCATGTGACAATTTCATAATGCTCTGAACATTATTAAAGTGTCAGTGTAGTAACAATAGAAAGGCACATTGTGACTGACCACATTTACTCGTGTGTGTCTGTACTTGCGAGTACATATTGTAATGTATATATTTGTGTCTGTGTGTATCCTACCAGGGTCAGCAGGCAGTGTGAGGAGAATTCCTGGTGAGCAGGGATGGTGGAAAACACAGACAGAACCAGACATCCAAACACCAGGATGAACCTGTGGAGGCAAAATATGCACATAAAGTTCATCACCAAATAACAGGCTTTGGCTCATTAGCTCAGGTAATGTACACGTTTGCAGTAAAACATACACTGAGAAATATCTGAACCTGCAAAATACAGAATGATGTGAATGAGCTACTTTCTACTGCAGAAACAGCCCCTTCCTACAAATGTACCATTTAGTTACTATAAGCCCCGTAAACACAATCCCCTAAAGAAATGTTAGAGCTGATATTTCAAACCTCTGGGCTATCAAACCAAAGCTATTATTGCTAGTATCAATGAAGGTAAGTGGGGAAATATGTAGTCTGTGATTTAAATTTCAACTGAAAACATTTGTCAGCAATAAATACTTACAGTTATAGGATGTGTTATAGATTTGACAGTAATACTGAAGCTTGGATCGGTATCAAAGTGAAGGCTTGGTGTTGTGATAACGCTGAGAATAAATCGCCATAAAACATTGTTTTTAATCACAGTACAAACACAGATTGCATTTGCCAAATCGTAACAGCTCCCTCCTCATTGCCTGACTGACCCAAAATGTCCCTACTCTGCCAGCTGCAAGGAAACCACTCAGTCCTGTGTAAGTCATATGGTAACTTGGTTAATGAGCAAATACAAATTAAAATTCATAAGGCAGCTTCCAGACAACATATGCACTGGCTAGCAGCCTCCGTCTGCTGTTCTTCAGAGTATCGCTGAACTGAACAGTGTTTTTTTTAAGATGCCATCTGTCCATCTGATATTTAGGGTTTTCATCTCTGCAGATCTTTGACTGTTTGTTGTGTGTGTACAGATTTTGTTCCGTCCTTGTTCCCTTCTCCGTTGCCTCGCTGACTGACTTTCTCTCTAATCTTCTGTTTCGCCCTGTACCCTGCTTTTCTTGTGTGTATGAACAGTGTGAGTACTTGTGGCTGAGTTAGAGCAGAAGAGGACTGGTGCCTCCTAACGTTCAGCCCACATCTGCATCTGACAGTGGCTCCTTCTTTAATAACTCTTTACTGTCATACAGACTGACAGCATGGAGATCAGATCATTTTTTCTTAATGTAAAAATTCTATTGTATTGTAAAATTCTAAGTCTAGCCTTATCCTGCATCTGTGTGCAGACAAAACACTGAATGGCAACAGAATGGATAGACTACAAGTGTTGTCCATGCAGTGCTGTCTCTAAAAACAAAGGAGATGCGGTGATGAGCTGGAATTTTAACTTTTAAGCATTTTCAGAAATCGACAAAACACACAACTTTGTCTAAAGTCTCACATCCGTCCCTATTTCTGAAAGCAGAATATGGCATTTTAGGGGTAAAGACATATTAGGTGAAAGTATTATTAAGCAATGCAGGTGAAAACTGCACTGTCAGTAAACATTTCTTTGTAAAGTAACATAAGCTTATGTTACTTTATAAAGTAACATAAGCTTATGTTACTTTATAAAGTAACATAAGCAGTAGACCGAATTTTCCTGACTCCACTGCCCCTGTAAAACCGAAACATTCATGCTTTGTGCAAATGTGAAAGTAAAAGTCAATAACTAATATTTGTAAAAAGTTTTTGGTCAAGGCCTCAACTTCAAATAAAACATCCTCATGCTTCTGTTTCTTTCTAATGTCCCTATTCACAAGACACTAGGCCTAAAAAGTGAAATCCTACAAACTGAATACTGTAGGCCTGAATGTCCCAAATGAAAAAGGATATCATTATTTCTCTTTTCAGAGACTGACTACAGCCTTGTGAGATGTCAGTCCAACATCGGAAATTGAATAGCTACTTCAATATGCATTCAGAAGTTACATGCACAACATATTACTCGCTTGATAACAAAACTGCTTGCAGTCATTGTCAGGTCACACACAAAATTACATTTGACACAGCAAGCTTTTTCTTTTCTGAGGGAGCCAGATACAAAGATCATCGGCTGAAACAGATTAGACGATCTGAATATTTTGTGGAGAGGAATTGTCTCTGCAATTTCTGCCATCAGATGGTTCTTGTTTTTCAGCTTATGCTGTGTTCACACATGCTGGTGGGAAAGTGTGACATCTTCTAAGTCAACTGTGTGATCAGGAGCAACAGGGATTAAATTAACATGTGCTCTCTTTACATGCTGTTGTTTAAACTGGTCACACTGGAGTGTTTTTACATATTAAATCATTCCTAGATGCATTCAGTATATGATCACATTATGCACTCAGGCAGGATGTGTTTTTTCCGTCTGAGTGCCACCTCTTCCTTTATGTCAAATGATGTTGAAATTATCCAGTAGGTGAAGACAGACATGATAAAGAGAAGCACAATGAAACTTGTTATCCGTAGCACTACTGACTGATCAGTACCTAGATGAATTAGCTACGTGACCAGTGAGTCACAGAGATGAACTGCTGATACATGTTCAAATGTGTTAGAGAAAGATAAGAGTATGTGAATCTGATGCAAGGTTGTCCAGCAGGTTATTTAGGCAATACCACTGCAAACCCACCTTAAAGAACAAACCCAGGGGTTTTGCATGTTTTAGCCTATTGACTAAAAATATAATAGTCTTTTCATCACAGGGTAGAAAATCAATTTACAGTGATTCCAACAGAGATGTTGATCCTTTTAACAACATACTATATGTTCATCTGCAGTACTGCTGACTCACTGACTTTCATGTTATGTTATTATTTTTTTGACAGTTGACTAGCAAAACTAAGATGGTATAGCTTCCTAAGAGGTAGAACCTAGAAAGAGTATACCCTGCTTACAGCTGAAAATATATGTAACTCCATCTAAAGCCTCAAATTCTAAAAACAATGTTCATTGGGAAGAGCTGGTGGTGCTGACAGATCCTGACCTGTAGAGAGGCCAGCAGTTTCCACCTGCTTCTGCTCTTTATGATAAGCTAAGCTAAACACCACCTGGCTCCAGATCCAACACACAGATACACCTGGTTTACACAACATCAAACTATTCCACTTACTTTAACCAGAAAGATAAAAGTCATTAATGCTCATGATGGATCACACAACATTTTCCTGAAAAGCGAAAAATTGTCACATATGTTTTGTAAAATGGTGAGAATATAATATATTTGTAGCTTTTTTAATTTAACATGTATAATGGATTTCTTAACTGCATAATGCTTAGCAGGCATCAATAATCTGACAGCTGTTTATTGATATGGTGTCATATTATTCTACAGCAGCAGTTTGGATCCCTTCTTCCTAAACATGTGGAGGCTCCATTGTAATTGCCTGTTAACTCTATTAAATAACTCAGCTGAGTGCTGGCCAACTCTGAGGTCACGCCGCCAGATCAACATCTGGTAAAGTCGTGGCTGGATGTCCTCAGTGGACCCTAGATAAGTTGCAGGTGTGAGAGAATGACTGCTCTGTTGCATATGGCAGTGGCAAATAAACTGTTTCTGACTTAATGCTGATGAATAACCTGAGGATGTGCAGACAAAACCATATACAGCCAAAAACCTGCACTACTCCTGCACAGGCACAGACACAGATGCCTGGGAAAGCTTGAGGAGAAAAGGTGAGTATGTGTGTAATCAGGTCCCTGGTGATTCGCAGCTTGGGCTCACAAGGCGGCTTCATCACAAGCACCATGACTTAAAATGCAATTAAGATGGAAGATATACATGCAACTAGAAACATGCAGTAATCTGCATGGCATCCTGAAAAATTTGTTTCCAGCGCAGAGAATTTTAATTGATGTTCCTTAGAAAACCTTGACAAAATGGTCTATGAGGACAAGGTTTTCAGCTTTGTGGCTGGAGTCGGTGTGAATTGTGGAGCCATGTAGCATGAACATGTAAACAAGTACCACAGAAACACTATAAAGGAATGCACTCTGTGTGTGGCATCTGAGGATGTATAGGAGAAAAAGTGTGTGTGTGTGTGTGTTTGTGAGACAGATCGAGTATGTGAGAGGTCAGGGTTTTCCACACAATATGGTCTGGTATCATTATGTATTTTTAATTCTTTCTTTCTGTGCCAGCCATGCATACCCTTTGAATCAAGAGAAATGGGGAGATCAGGAGAGTCAGATGAGGCTTTGAATAAGTGCAGGAGTTTGTCTCATAATGTCAAGGTAATAAAGCAACAGAAGATACAATAGAAGATGGGAATTATGAAAAAAGAAGTGGATCAGCAGAGAACTCCACAGTGGCAATAAGTGGAGATGCTGAATCTTGTGAATGGAACTGACTGAACGCTGTAAGAGGGATGTGATCAGCGAGTTTTCCTGGGTGAAAGCAGGGTGAGGAGATAAAAATTTAGCTTAGCTATAAATAACATTTCTCCTGCTAGGAAAAGCCCTGTTCGTTCAGCACATCAGAAATAAAACGAGAGAGAAGAATAACGAGACAGAGGCTGAGAAAGAGATGGCAAGCTGAGAGAATCGACTAAGCACAGTCAGTCTCTTTCTTCTCGTCAATTTCTTTCACTGACTCATCTTTCCTTTTCTCTCTGGATCTCACTCTCATTTGTCATGATATTGGTCATGTTTTTACTCTCACTACCTATTCTTATATGGCCGTGTGTGTGTGCAACTCACTCTGCTACATTGTTTATTTTCATAGTCATATGATGCAAGAAGAGCGAGAAGAGCAGACAAGCAGAGCAGAGGGAAAAGCAAGGCGAGAGAAACTGTGGGCCGGGAAGGAAGGAGTGAGAACGGCGGATAGAGCCAGGCTGACTCCTTGCCAGCAGTCTATTAGTTAATCCTTGTGTTTATCCAGCTGAGTGCAGTATCTTACCTGATGATGGCAATGATAAAACATACGGTTTTATTTCTAAGCAACTACTTGACCAAACAGAGCCGGGCCAAGGACACATCGCTGCACTAGCCAGTTCTCTCAGCAGACGTCTGAAAGGTTTCCTCCATCAAAAACAAAGTGGAACTTCAATAATAGTCATTCTCAAATTCAATTTAAGAAAGGAAGGATTTCAGTGTCTTGCTTCAGAAAGGCATATCTGTGTTAACGCCAGCTCTTGACCCAGGG